AGAGAGGGGTAGAGAGAGAGAGAGAGAGAGAGAGAGAGAGAGAGAAAGAGAGAGAGAGAGAGATTTCTTGGTGTAAGCCTAAGCATGAAGGTATGCTGATCTTCCCAGACCTATGTTCTCCCAAGTTACAAGAAACTGTAAAATAACAACTGCTTTAATGTCTCTGAAAATTGTCTCAAGGGTATAGAATTCTTCATTCAATTCAGTTACCTCAGTTAATTATCGAAAGAGTTTCAAATAGGGCAACAGAAAGAAACCAACAAACACATCACAGAAATAGTCTTGAAAGTTATGGGGGGAAAGGTAAAAAAATGCATTTAGTCTCCGGTAGTTGAACCTATGAATGTGAGCATGCTTAAGAAGTACTGTACAGGGCTGGAGAGATGACTCAGCAGTTAAGAAAACTGACTGCTCTTTCAGAGGACCTGGGTTCAATTCCCAACATCCACATGGCAGCTCACAACTGTCTGTAACTCCAGTTCCAAGGGATCTATCTCCCTCACAGAGACATATATGCAGGTAAAACACCAATGCACATAAAATAAAAATAAATTACTTTTAAAAATACTCAACAATTGAACTATATTCCCAGCCTCACAAAAGAGGAACTTTTGCAGTAAGAGTCAGAGAATGGAAGCTGTATGCTTAAAAGTGTAATGTTTATACCTTATATGGGAACACAAATAAGTGAAACATTAATCTAATTAATCTTTATCAATAAAAAATTGGGAGTCAAATATCAGGGTAAGAACCTGAAAGATCAGAGAATCAGGTAGCAGCTGCCAATCACTTCCTACTTCTAATGTTCCTCCACCCAAAAGGTGAGATCCTCTCTCAGATCCGCCTAACTACTTCCTGTCTCCTCTCAGCCTAGAGTCCTTCAAAACTCTATAGTTATTTTGGTCGACTAGTAGCTGGCTCTGCCCTCTGACACCAAGCAAGCTCTGTTATGCCCAAATCCAAGAGTCCTCATAAAAGTCAACAAAAGAGACCGAGTCCCATATGTAAAAGCAAAGAGCTTTTATTTTAATCATCTTTGCAAACTCGGTCTCTCCACATGTCCAATGAATTAGAATATCTGGAGAGCCCCAAGCTCAATTAGAATAGGCTTTTATAGTAGTAAAGGTGGGGGTGAGGGGTTTCTGAGGTTTTAAGACCCCTGATTGGCTAACATTTGTCTTAGGTTTCTTGGTGACTGTGCACTGGCAGGTATTTCTATGTACAATACATGGAATTCCAGGAATTTCCTTTGAATGGTCTGTTCTTGGGTGGGGGTCTGGTGATCTCAGCTTGTGTTTTCTCCTAAGCCCAGCACCATTGGCCAAAAGCAGCTTCTTTATTCATTAACCAATGAAAGCAACACATATACAGAAGGACCTCCCACCCCATTTTCCCTTTTCTGTTTAAATAAAATAGGTTTTATCTTTAACATAGTAAAATTACATATAACAAAACAGGTATCAAGCAAGAATTACAGTTACAATATTTGTATCTACTCTATCTTTAATCATAACTAAGGAAACCTATAATTATAATCATCTATTCTTCAACTCCATCAAAGACTCCAGAAAGATATAATGTTCCTACATTAACGGGAAGTGCACTGTAAGC